TCAACTTTTATTAGGATGGTTACATCAACTAAATGTAAACTTTCGTTGAACCAAATTGCGCTGTCATACGGAGAATATAACATCCACGATAATCCAGAGTACTATGTATCTATTCTATAATCATAACGAGCTCGATTCGAATAGCACGACGCTAGAAATAGCCGTCCAATTATGTTTGTTGTTTAACGCCACACTCAGCAATATTCCAGCTGTATGACGACGGTCTGTAAATAATCGCGTCAGCACCAGACAATCCAGTGATTGACATCATGAGCATTGATCCACGCAATTGGGATACGATGACTTGCATCAACCAAGTCAGCGAGCCTGACCACCCGATCCCGTTAGTCGCCTCTTACGACAAACATTGACGCCTCTTTCGACAAGGATTGCTGAAGACCTATTCTAATCAATCAAATTACTCTAACGGGCAAATGAGACGTGACCGTGGGTAGATGGGTGAGAAATGGAGGGGCACCAACGCTGGTGGTATGAGGCGACTGAATAGATGGGGTGGTCAGACTCGGTACTTGGTGGTGGATTGCATGACATCGTCGCTGACGACGACGTGGGTAGTTGCTCATAATATTAATCAGTGGATTGTCTGAAATATTGGTCAGTGGAGTGTAAAACAACCAACACTGACTCACTAACTCTGAAACGGTGCTATGATGACGAATGGATCCACGATATTTATCATAATGGGATGACCACATACGGGAATCATGTGATCCTTTAACCGGTCACATGACCACTAGCTAGTCACATGATATTAAAACCATGTTCACAGACACGACCCCCAGGAAGGGTCTTGTGACCCTTCAATCTGTCACATGACCACTAGCAGGAGTCATGTGGTTCATATCCACTGTCACATGATCACATGCATGTACGTTTTCAGAGTCTACAATTCTTCCCTGGAATGCATTTGGGTAAAAATCGGGGTTTTGAGGACCTATTCTTCCTCCGAGTCCTTACAGGAGATAAGCAAGTTACCTACAGTCCTCACGGGGAGACAAGCTTGAAGTCACATTCGACATCATAAGTTGTCACCTAATCTTGAGGGGTATATCGTGTGATGTACACAACATATGCCCTGAGGGATCGGTTGACAACGAACTTATCTGGCAGACATTTATCCATACATGTCTGAAGTTTCAGTGAGTAGAAAGCTCTGATTCAGACATTTTGACAGCTAGCAGACGACACAAATGAACTGAGTTACATCCCCTTACCCAATGCATTAGGAAAAACAGTGATATTTATGCAAGATAAGCAAGTTACCTACAGTGTTCTGATTGATTTCTCAGTGGGCTACACAAGCCGGCTACATGGAAAATAATTGCCTGCTCCTTAACCAATGAGAAGCTGGGATTCTAATGTGAGGTGAGATATAGAAAACAACACATCTGCAGTTAGTTGGTTTTATTTAAAAAACAAGCAGCACTTAGGTAGTACAGTGAAAATAGATCAATAATTCATGTTGACTATTGATAAATGCCATTACACAAATATATCACAAATGCTCGTACATACAGGTATGTGCAGCCAAATCAGGACAAGAATAATATGTTTTGCATCTTTGAACATGTAAACAGTAAAAGCCTGATCCTGACAAACCAAGGATCATGATGAGGAGGAATTGAACCCACAGTCAGTGGATCCTTGTAAGTTGCTCCACCTAGACCTCTGGGCCATCCATGCAACCTACAGCACCAAAAACAGCTACGCCAATCATGCCCCCTGCAGCACTATGTTACCCATGCCTCATTCATAACCCTAGATCAATGGGGAAACTGTGTCGCCTACGCCCTGTATCACCCTAGAGCCCTGAGCCAATCACTGGCCCTGATGTCGTGGGTACTGCCAGGGCACAGTTCGCCCAGAAGTCTAGGGTTCCGGAGGGGGCACGGGTGACCCATCTATAGTGCTGACAAACCAAAGACCAGAATTAGGGCACAGTGAAATGCAGCACCTTAGACAAATGGGCCACCCCTGTCCCGATAAACCAAGAAACATAATCAGGGCAAATCTGGGATTCAACACCAGAGTTCACAGGATTCAGGCACGCCTAAGGTACACAACTCTGCACAGTGAATTGAGACACCTTAGATGACGAAGCAACCGATCCCCCCTCTCACTCTGTGGCTGAACGCATAACTAATCGAGACTCACATCCGCCCTGCTTGGTGAAATGAATTCTATGCTACAAGACTAGTATACAGTAACATGTGACAATATGGATGCTGGGCTATATTCCACTAGAGGAAACATTGTCATTGAGCTGATTCATCTTCACTTCAAAACATAGTATTCTTTTTTTTTATGCTGCACTCAGCAATATTTCAGCTATACGGCAGCAGTCATATATATAATTGAGTCTGGACCACACAATCCAATGACTGATATCGTGAACATTGATCTACACAGTTCGGATACGATGACATGCATCAACCAAGTCAGCAAGCCTGACTACCAGATCCCAAAGTCATAATTTAAAACTATGTAACACAACTGTCCTCTGAATCATAACTCAAGTTTTTTAATAAAATAGGAGTAATAAATAATCAACACAAATAATGTCAGCTGATATCCTCGTTAAAAGCAACATGGAGCCTATCAATTCAGCAAACAATTGACTTAATTTACCACTTCACCTTATATTTTTATTTTCTATATCTAACTACAAAGGACATTTTAAGGCAATGCAAAATGACCACACAATTAGTTTAGTGACTTAAGTAAAAATAAAGTTTAGATCATGTTTCTGAATCAGGGCTGCAAGCAGAAAGAACAGTCAAAGGGAAGTAACTCTAGGCAATATTGCACTGTGATTGTGATACCAGCATTTCTTTTATCATGGTTATTTCACTGTAAATAATCATTTGGTTTACATAATCAAGGACTGACTAAGAACAAGTCAAAAGTAAGAAATATTTCCATATAACAATGATAAGCAGTAGGCTTCTCCTGCCCAGGCACATGCCACTAAGCAGAACACTACTGACTCCACAAAGACACACACAGTAGCAAGACACTGAGTCTCCTCACACATTGTTACACATGCTGTACACATGGCCACACACACATGCACTAAGGTGCATATCCGTACATACACTTTCTCGCAACACACCCAAACATAAACAGCAAGACACATAAATTTTTACAATCACACACACACAAACAAATAAAGCAGAAATCTTTATACATGTATGCAACACAACACTAATAATGAATAGATTATTCTGCATATATCTTAGTCAAACAATATATGCTGACAAGACAATCCCACATAGCCACCAAGATAGGACAATCCCACATAGCCCCCGGGACAGGACAATCCCAAACAGCCTCTATGACAAGACAATCCCACACAGTCTCTATGATAGGACAATCTTATAAAGCCTCCATGACATGACAATCCCACATAGCCTCTATGACAAGACAATCCCACATAGCCTCTATGAAAAGACAATCCCACATAGCCTCTATGACAAGACAATCCACCACAGCCTCTATGACAAGACAATCCCAAACAGCCTCTGACAAGACAATCCCACATAGCCTCTATGACAAGACAATCCCACATAGCCTCTATGACAAGACGATCCCACATAGCCTCTATGACAAGACAATCCCACATAGCCTCTATGACAAGACAATCCCACACAGCCACTGAGACAGGACAATCCCACACAGCCACTGAGACAGGACAATCCCACACAGCCACTGAGACAGGACAATCCCACACAGCCACTGAAACAGGACAATCCCACATAGCCACTGAGACAGGACAACCCCACATAGCCACTGAGACAGGACAATCCCACATAGCCACTGAGACAGGACAATCCCACACAGCCACTGAGACAGGACAATCCCACATAGCCACTGAGACAGGACAATCCCACATAGCCACTGAGACAGGACAATCCCACACAGCCACTGAGACAGGACAATCCCACACAGCCACTGAGACAGGACAATCCCACACAGCCACTGAGACAGGACAATCCCACACAGCCACTGAGACAGGACAATCCCACACAGCCACTGAGACAGGACAATCCCACACAGCCACTGAGACAGGACAATCCCACACAGTCTCTACAGTCTCCAGACACATGTCCTAAGTAGTCTGGTAATATCAACCCAACACAACTGATCAGGATTAAATACACAGAGGCCTATTTTCTGTCACTACCCAATATCAACTTCTGTGAAGCATTAGCAATAAATACTAAGTTCTCTCACAGAGAGTCACTGTCAATAGAGGAGCGTCTCTGATGGGGGTGGGTGGGGTAATGGTCTGTGTTGGTGTGATGCTGGGGGTAGGGTCGGGATAATAATGAGCACTATAACACACATTTGAGGGCTGGCCCTGGCAGAGGTCACTGATAAATGATAAGCGATATACACTGTTGCTCTTTTCAGATCACCATAACATGAAGGGCAGGCTTAGTGTGGGAAAAGGGTGGGGTTGGGATTGGTTCAGCTGGGAAGTAAGGAGGGATGGTGGTTGTGGAGATATGACATATGCACTGATGTTCTTTTCAGATAACCACACTATAGGAGAAAGAATTTATGGATGTCAACTTCTTTATCACGAGGAACAAGTTGACATCCATAAATTCTTTCTCTTATGTGTATCACTTCTAAATGCCATCCAAAGACTCACCACACTATGCCAGGGAGGGATAATGGTAGTGTAGAGGTGCTGGGGTTGGGGGTTGGGGGTCGGGGTTGGGGTTAGGGTTTGGGTTTGTGTGATATGATCAATATCTATGCAGTGAGGACCTTTGGGAAGTGACATCTTCCCGAGGCAAAGGAGTCAATTTTAGAGTCAAGTATAGTTTCCACCCTTGCCAAACTTTCTGAGTTCGAATGTAGCGCCACCAGTGGCCATTACGAGTTATATCCCTTTTTTGTCCCTCCTATTGACCAATTAGATTCCACCTCTCATATCACATGCATTTGCTTCAAACAAAGTGGCTGTCCTCAGTTCAGATCTGATCGATAATCAAGATCTTTATTATATATAATGGGTCTTACCTCGTGAAGTGCATCAGATCATTTGTGCACCTTGATCAAAAACATGAAAAGATTTGGAAAATATCTGCTGACGCTGAGCTGGTGGTACACATCCTTCGCAAATCCTGCAATTGACTGAAATCTACACAGCAGTTTACGAACTGGATGTTGATTTCGTTACGCTATTTTGATTGGACTATGCATAAACCCTTTAGTCCAGCCAAAATATAACTCCATAATTCCAGCTTAGTTCAGCAAGGGTGGAATCTGGACTTTTAAAGTCAGTTAACTCCCTTGACTTGGGAAGATGGGAGGGACAGCGGCAATGTAGAGGTTGGGGTGGTGTCAAGGTTGGTTCTGTGAGGGAGTGGGGATTGGGATAGTGGAGGCCTGACCAATACACATACACTGTTGAGCTTTTCAAGCAACCACACTAGCAGGAGCTGGGCCAGGGGTGGAGGTGGTTGCAGATGTGTTAGATGTTGTTGCAGTTGGGGTTGTAGAGGGGACATTGGGGGAGTAGGCTGGGGGTGGCGGCAGTTGCCCTATGAAGGAAACGTCGTGACTGTAGGGAGACAGTAGAGAGTGCAGGTCGTCGCAGTCGTCCAGCAAGTACGGCTGAGGGCGGGGCTCCTCGTGGAGAGGGTATCGGCGCAGGCAGTTGCAGGCCACAGCAAACACGGACACACTTCCTGCTGCCGAGATAAGGTAGAAACTGACATCAAAGGACACCTCTACTTTCTTGTTGTCCCCTTGAAGCTGCTGTACTTGTGTCGTGATGAAATAGCACAGGATGTTCACAATCACACAGATCACAACTGCAACACAAGAGTTAATGTATAATACAAGAGAGAGTGAATCATACAAGAGTGAGTGAGTGAGTGAGTGTTTGATTGTTAGTTGCTTAACATGGCACTCAGCAGTATTTCCAGCTATGTGATGGCGGTCTGTAAATAATCAGGTCTAGACCAGATGTTTAGATCATGAGCATCAATCCACACAATTGGGATATGATGACATGCCATCATCCAAGCCACTGAGTCGCCTTTTATGATAAGGGGATGTGGTAAGCCATACAAAAATGACAGAGGATCATACAAGAGTGAGTGAGCGGATCATACAAGAGTGAGTGAATCATAGCATGCAGTGATATGTGCATCCTCACTAGAGCGTAGTGTTGTGCATCTTCCCTCACATGTAGAGTTATGCATCTTGCGTATAGTACATGTGTATTGTGCATCTTCCCTAGTGTGTAGCATCGTGCATCTTCCCTCATGTTTGGCATTATCGTGCATCTTCCCTCATATGAAGAGTTAGGCATCTGGTGTATAGTACATGTGTATTGTGCATCTTCCCTAGTGTGTAGCATTGTGCATCTTCCCTTGTATGTAGAGTTAGGCATCTTGTGTGTAGTACATGTGCATCGCGCATCTTCCCTCATGTTTGGCAGTATCGTGCATCTTCCCTCTTATGTAGAGTTATGCATCTTGCGCATAGAACATGTGTATTGTGCATCTTCCCTAGTGTGTAGCATTGTGCATCTTCCCTCATGTTTGGCATTATCGTGCATCTTCCCTCATATGAAGAGTTAGGCATCTGGTGTATAGTACATGTGTATTGTGCATCTTCCCTAGTGTGTAGCATTGTGCATCTTCCCTCATGTTTGGCAGTATCGTGCATCTTCCCTCTCTGTAGAGTTAGGCATCTTGTGTGTAGTACATGTGCATCGCGCATCTTCCCTCATGTTTGGCAGTATCGTGCATCTTCCCTCTTATGAAGAGTTAGGCATCTTGTGTGTAGTACATGTGTATTGTGCATCTTCCCTCATGTTTGGCAGTATCGTGCATCTTCCCTTTTATGAAGAGTTAGGCATCTGGTGTATAGTACATGTGTATTGTGCATCTTCCCTCATGTTTGGCATTATCGTGCATCTTCCCTCTTATGAAGAGTTAGGCATCTTGTGTATAGTACATGTGTATTGTGCATCTTCCCTTGTGTTTGGCATTATCGTGCATCTTCCCTCTTATGAAGAGTTAGGCATCTTGTGTGTAGTACATGTGTATTGTGCATCTTCCCTCATGTTTGGCATTATCGTGCATCTTCCCTCTCTGTAGAGTTAGGCATCTTGTGTGTAGTACATGTGTATTGTGCATCTTCCCTCATGTTTGGCATTATCGTGCATCTTCCCTAGTGTGTAGCATTGTGCATCTTCCCTCATGTTTGGCAGTATCGTGCATCTTCCCTCTCTGTAGAGTTAGGCATCTTGTGTGTAGTACATGTGTATTGTGCATCTTCCCTCATATTTGGCAGTATCGTGCATCTTCCCTCTCTGTAGAGTTAGGCATCTTGCGTATAGTACATGTGTATTGTGCATCTTCCCTAGTGTGTAGTATTGTGCATCTTCCCTCATATTTGGCAGTATCGTGCATCTTCCCTCTCTGTAGAGTTAGGCATCTTGTGTGTAGTACATGTGTATTGTGCATCTTCCCTCATATTTGGCAGTATCGTGCATCTTCCCTCTTATGAAGAGTTAGGCATCTTGTGTGTAGTACATGTGTATTGTGCATCTTCCCTAGTGTGTAGCATTGTGCATCTTCCCTCATATTTGGCAGTATCGTGCATCTTCCCTCTCTGTAGAGTTAGGCATCTTGTGTGTAGTACATGTGTATTGTGCATCTTCCCTAGTGTGTAGCATTGTGCATCTTCCCTCATGTTTGGCAGTATCGTGCATCTTCCCTCTCTGTAGAGTTAGGCATCTTGTGTGTAGTACATGTGTATTGTGCATCTTCCCTAGTGTGTAGCATTGTGCATCTTCCCTCATATTTGGCAGTATCGTGCATCTTCCCTCTCTGTAGAGTTAGGCATCTTGTGTGTAGTACATGTGTATTGTGCATCTTCCCTCATGTTTGGCAGTATCGTGCATCTTCCCTCTTATGAAGAGTTAGGCATCTTGTGTATAGTACATGTGTATTGTGCATCTTCCCTCATGTTTGGCAGTATCGTGCATCTTCCCTCTTATGAAGAGTTATGCATCTTGTGTGTAGTACATGTGTATTGTGCATCTTCCCTTGTGTTTGGCATTATCGTGCATCTTCCCTCTTATGAAGAGTTAGGCATCTTGTGTGTAGTACATGTGTATTGTGCATCTTCCCTTGTGTTTGGCATTATCGTGCATCTTCCCTCTTATGAAGAGTTAGGCATCTTGTGTGTAGTACATGTGTATTGTGCATCTTCCCTCGTGTGTAGTATCGTGCATCTTCCCTCTTATGACGAGTTAGGCATCTTGTGTGTAGTACATGTGTATTGTGCATCTTCCCTCGTGTGTAGTATCGTGCATCTTCCCTCTTATGAAGAGTTAGGCATCTTGTGTGTAGTACATGTGTATTGTGCATCTTCCCTTGTGTTTGGCATTATCGTGCATCTTCCCTCTTATGAAGAGTTATGCATCTTGTGTGTAGTACATGTGTATTGTGCATCTTCCCTTGTGTTTGGCATTATCGTGCATCTTCCCTCTTATGACGAGTTAGGCATCTTGTGTGTAGTACATGTGTATTGTGCATCTTCCCTCGTGTGTAGTATCGTGCATCTTCCCTCTTATGACGAGTTAGGCATCTTGTGTGTAGTACATGTGTATTGTGCATCTTCCCTCGTGTGTAGTATCGTGCATCTTCCCTCTTATGAAGAGTTAGGCATCTTGTGTGTAGTACATGTGTATTGTGCATCTTCCCTTGTGTTTGGCAGTATCGTGCATCTTCCCTCTTATGAAGAGTTAGGCATCTTGTGTGTAGTACATGTGTATTGTGCATCTTCCCTCATGTTTGGCAGTATCGTGCATCTTCCCTCTTATGAACAGTTATGCATCTTGTGTGTAGTACATGTGTATCGTGCATCTTCCCTCTTATGAAGAGTTAGGCATCTTGTGTGTAGTACATGTGTATTGTGCATCTTCCCTTGTGTTTGGCATTATCGTGCATCTTCCCTCTTATGAAGAGTTAGGCATCTTGTGTGTAGTACATGTGTATTGTGCATCTTCCCTCATGTTTGGCAGTATCGTGCATCTTCCCTCTTATGAAGAGTTAGGCATCTTGTGTGTAGTACATGTGTATTGTGCATCTTCCCTTGTGTTTGGCATTATCGTGCATCTTCCCTCTTATGAAGAGTTAGGCATCTTGTGTGTAGTACATGTGTATTGTGCATCTTCCCTCATGTTTGGCAGTATCGTGCATCTTCCCTCTTATGAAGAGTTAGGCATCTTGTGTATAGTACATGTGTATTGTGCATCTTCCCTCATGTTTGGCAGTATCGTGCATCTTCCCTCTTATGAAGAGTTAGGCATCTTGTGTATAGTACATGTGTATTGTGCATCTTCCCTCATGTTTGGCAGTATCGTGCATCTTCCCTCTTATGAAGAGTTATGCATCTTGTGTGTAGTACATGTGTATTGTGCATCTTCCCTTGTGTTTGGCATTATCGTGCATCTTCCCTCTTATGAAGAGTTAGGCATCTTGTGTGTAGTACATGTGTATTGTGCATCTTCCCTCATGTTTGGCAGTATCGTGCATCTTCCCTCTTATGAAGAGTTAGGCATCTTGTGTGTAGTACATGTGTATTGTGCATCTTCCCTTTGTTTGGCATTATCGTGCATCTTCCCTCTTATGAAGAGTTAGGCATCTTGTGTGTAGTACATGTGTATTGTGCATCTTCCCTTGTGTTTGGCAGTATCGTGCATCTTCCCTCTTATGAAGAGTTAGGCATCTTGTGTGTAGTACATGTGTATTGTGCATCTTCCCTTGTGTTTGGCATTATCGTGCATCTTCCCTCTTATGAAGAGTTATGCATCTTGTGTGTAGTACATGTGTATTGTGCATCTTCCCTCTTGTTTGGCATTATCGTGCATCTTCCCTCTTATGAAGAGTTATGCATCTTGTGTGTAGTACATGTGTATTGTGCATCTTCCCTTGTGTTTGGCATTATCGTGCATCTTCCCTCTTATGAAGAGTTAGGCATCTTGTGTATAGTACATGTGTATTGTGCATCTTCCCTCATGTTTGGCAGTATTGTGCATCTTCCCTCTTATGAAGAGTTAGGCATCTTGTGTGTAGTACATGTGTATTGTGCATCTTCCCTCGTGTTTGGCAGTGTTGTGCATTTTCTGTGTGTAGAGCCCTGTGTTACCCTCTTCGGGGTTGCATGATCGAAAAGTGCATTCCGACTTTCACTTTCTCCAATCTGGTAAGCGATGCTCTGATTGGTCGAATGAAAGGTCTTCTGACATGACCTGTAACGGGATGTCGTCAGAGATCCGATTAGAGGTGGCAAGAACTAAGATCTGATTTTTATTAAACCGAGTCAGGGCATCTTAACTTGTTCTGTGTACCTGTGAGAATGCTGAAGATGGCATTGCGATGTAACATGCGGAAGGTCCTCTGCGTGGGCCCAGTCAAATCCAGCAGGAAGGCGATGAGGCTACAAATGACTGCGACACAGGAGGCAGCTATCACCCACTTGAACACCATCACTGCCTTTGTGGTCACACAGTTGGCCATTACTGGGGAAACATTCAAACACAGCAGTAGAGAATTAGCAAAGGAGTCCAAACTAAGCGCCTTGGCAGGCAAATTAGGATTCTTATTTTTCATAAATTCAGAGGAAAATACATTGTACAGTAGAACACGGAATGAACTACAAGGGACCAGAGAAATCAGTTCGTTATATCCGTTGTTTGTTATACACGTTTTCGCTCGGAAACGTCTGCCATCTTGGATAAGACAAAACACAATACACGTAATTGCAGTGTTACACGTGAAATCTTCATGCCCTAATTTCACTGCAAGTTCGTCAGCTTTGGTCTTTCTTGGTTTTTATGCCAGCATCAACAGCATTAATACTTCTCAATTTCGTCAGTGACACTTGACACTGAGTGAGATTTCTCAGTTCGCTATACACGTCACTAATTAGTGATAGATGGGCTTGTCGGTGATCAGATATCAGTTTGCTGTATCCGTTAGTTCGCTGTAGAGAGTTCGTTATATATGTAAATTTTATATGATATTATATCAATGTATATAGGAGATAAATGGGGAATTTTTTAACAGTTCGTTGTATCCGTTTGTTCGCTATATCCGGGGTTCGTTATATCCGTGTTCTACTGTACTTGAACCTCTTGTTCCCTTGTTAAATAGAACCCCACCTTTTGTCACTTCAGGCCTACCAAAGATACCCAGTAGAGAGCTACCCAACTATGGAATATGTTCACACTTTAAATAGATATAGCCACACAAATTACAAACAAAGACACAAGATAAAGTTTGCATCGTAGTGATATAGAGAATCTCACCCAAGTGTCGTTTGATATCAAATGTATCAACATGAGTCGATAAACTTTTATCGACGAGTGTAGATATACTTGATATCAAAAGACCCAAGGGTGAGATTCTATTTATCATCAAACATCATTCTTCCAACTTTTTCAGTTTGTAGACAGTAATAAGATGTGTCTTAAGTGTTAAAAGTACAGCTAACAGCTTCAGTAGCAGAGCCATTAGTGATGTCCTTTGATTGTAACGTCATGGTATCCAATGATGTCACAATCGTCTGAAAAGCAGTGTGATGCAATTTCATTGCTGCGATATCTACAATGTAGTTATCGCTTGATCTCACCCAAGCAATATCTGCTGTGTGGGCCAGTTTTGGATGATACAAGTTTGTTGCAAGTGTGTCTTTCTTTGTAATTTGTGTGGCTATTTCTATTTGAAGTGTGAACCTATTCCTTAGTTTAGTAGCTCTCTGCTTACTGTTTCCCTTACTAAAGCGAGTGAGTACGCTACTTCATACTCCATCAATATCACAGCAGGGGACTCCAGAAATGGGCTTCACACATTGTACCCATGTGGGGAATCGAACCTGGGTCTTCGGCATGACGAGCAAACACTTAAACCACTAGGCTACCCCACCGCCAAATCACTTACTAGAAAGAATGCAGCTAATGCCTTAAACATGTAAAAAGGTTCAGCTATCTTCAAAGATTTTGTGCATTTTAATTCATTGGTTAAATCAGCATTAGAAATTGACACTAGTCCTGTAGTCCCGGCCAAACTGCCTAATAGTTAAGATATAACAAGGACTAGTAGAAATTTGGCATTTTTAACGGTTTTGCTATATGTTATCATTGTAAGGACTAGTGGACTAAAAATGTTAGTTTCTACCGCTGGTTACCACAAGAATGTTCACCTGGCATGTATCTTACCATCTAGCATGCTGGGCCCATACTGATATAAAACACTAGAACCTTCATCTGGATATGTGCCCGGCGCTATAAAATGTCCACTATAGAAGAACTGAAACGCTCCCAGGAAGTGCAATCCTCCCCGCGGTCTCTGGATGAGGCTACAGAGTCCATTGTAGATAGACACCCATTTGGGTTCCGCCAAGGCCACACACAGAATCACAATAGTTATCATGTTACAAACGGCTCCAGCAAAGTTCCGTTCACGCTGTTTGAAATTACAGTGTGAATGGCGTCGACTGCGACTCTGGCCATCGCTATGACGACTGCGTGATCGGTTGCTTGAGCGACTTCTTCTTGATGTCGACTCCCGACTTCGAGTTCTCCCTGAACTCCGTGAACTTGGCATAGTGGGTAGTCTACTGATGCATACCTGTCAAACAAGAAAGACAAACTTCATTACTAGAAACATATCAAGTGAGTGAGTGAGTGAGTTGGGTTTAACGCCACTTTTAACAGTATTCCAGTTATATCACCACGTGTCAGCTTAATGTGGGAGGAAAGCCCGAAGTGATGCAGGTCTAAGACATTTACCACTTTGGTGAAACCCACGAGCACAGATATGGTGCTGACAAACCTAGAAACATAATTGGGGCGAACCAGGATTCGAACCCACAATCATAGGTTTCTGGCGTGCCCAAGGGACACAACTCTGCACAGCGAATCGCGGCGCCTTAGACGACTGGGCTCCCTGTGCCCCCGAAACATATCAAGGTGTGCCAGAGGCATAAAGGCTATTTTGAATATTCATAATAGTTTGACTCATGACAAGAGCGCCGACTCACTTTCAGTATTATTTCCTGGTAGTCAGAGCAACGTTTTATGTTTGCTTGTTTGACTAACGTCGCACTCAGCAATATTCCTGCTATATAATAGCAGTCTGTACATAATCAAGTCTCAACCAGACAATCCAGTGATTGATACCAATAACATTGATCTACGCATTTGGGATATGATGGCATATGTCAACCAAGTCAGCGAACCTGACTGCCTGATCCCGTTAGTCGCCTCTTACAAGGAGAATGGATTTCCAAAGACCAATTCTCACCCACTATCTTCAGAGGATCAATGTCTCAGGAGCAAACACAACTTGACCAGGGGTCAAGCTTCAGATTCATGTTACCGTAAGTCCCCATGGTCCCTGGTCTGGCAGCCTAACTTTGGTGGCTGGTGATCTATGGCTCACTTTTATTATGTATTGTAATGAATATTCATATTTTAAGAATATATGCTAGCTTCAAATACAAATCTATGATACTCTAGTTGTATTACTGTCCATTGTCAACAGATTTTTATAAACTTTAAATGTATTTACTCGATATATAAATTGGTCTCGTCACAATATGGCTGAAATATTGCCGATGTGACACTCTTTACTGTGACTGTTGACCGTAATTGTTAATAGTTGGTGACCATGAAAAATATCTGGTTTGTTTTTACACAACTACATTAACAGTAATAGCTTCTTAGCCATCTCAGGGCACCTTCTTGACCCTTCATCAGGTGAATACTGAATAAGCATAACGACTTTACACAAGGTGGGATTAATGGATAAAGGTAGGTATATAATGAGGAAGCCAATGGCATTAATGGCAGAGAAACCAATAAAGTACAATGAAGATGTAGTGATGGGGCTGGGTGTTGTAACAAAGAGTGAGTGTGTGAGTATGGTTTTACACCGCTTTTAGCAATATTCCAGCAATATCACGGTGGGGGACACCAGAAATGGGCTTCACACATTGTACCCATGTGGGGAATCAAACCTTTGGCGTGATGATGAACACATTAACCACTAGGCTACCCCACCGCCCCTGTTGTAACAAAGAACTGACTTTGGTAACAATATAATAACAACACAATCAAGATGTCCCTTTGCGTTTATTGATAGGGATAAAGCACAGTAGAGTACAGCCCCTTCTAATTATTCGGACACCACTGACATTCCAAGATCACACTAGCTAGTCTGACCACCTCGATTACTTATTCCAAAAGCTTGCTTCCATTTTTCTCGTGGACAAAGATATGCGTCAAACACCAAGTCTTACCTCATAATTACCCAACGGTAAGAGTGAACGAGTGAGTTGGTTATACCATCGCTTGGAACAGTATTGACTTATTAAATGATAAGGTTATTTAGTGTTACAATGAAGTCAAGTTGTGTACTTTGGCAGGTTGTGTCCTAACGCTGCCGAAGACCTGGTCATGACAGATCCTCTATTGTGGAATTGCCGAAGTCAGACACCAACTCGAAAAGATGACAGTTCTTATCTATTATTATCGCAAATAACCTCAGGAATGTATTGTAACACGTCCTCATACATACAATTGCTGGTTACGTTTCTAAGCAACAGTACAAATCAATATACCTCCAAATTCTTCTCCTGTCGCCAATTTTTCTTACATCCTTCGCAGAGTTATCTTTGGAAACCGGAAGGAGATCTTCGGTTATGTTCGGCTATTTCCGTCAAATCCTTGTCGGCTTGTGCCGGTGCGCGGAATATAAGATTTTGTTTGTTTGTTGTTTAACGCCGCAGTCAGCAATATTCCAGCTATATGACGGCGGTGCGGAGATAAGAACAGGGAACATATAATATGTACTCTCTGATACGAGGCAAATTCATCACAGCAATTTGCGGGGCACCACCCTCACCCTCACCTCACCCCATCCCCAGCACATCTAGATCTATAATAAATTACCAGTCCCTTATGTCAGAGGCAATGCAGATGTGTTAATTATTTCCAGTAGACATGTTTATCATGGTCACTGTGTCAGGTGGATATATAAAGTAATTTCTGTGATCAAATGGTCTTCGATAAAGTTTTTACCTAATTTTTAGAAAGAAATCGGATTCATGCCGCATTACCAAGATATTGTGTTGATTACGGCTAATTAGGCCGGCTAATTTAGGCCCGAAAATAACAATTGATTACACCATTACATACGTAACATATGTTACACTTGGGATTACACGTCTAGTACTGTTTGGGATGGATTCCCATCAGGGATTTGAACCCACATCCTCAGAATAAGGCACTCAACGCCAGCACACATAGTCAGCGACGTAATTAACCCACTCAGCCTAAAAAATGGAAGTCCGACAACTGGTAGTCTAGATCCGCTACTTTAGTTCCCTTCCAGTGGCCCGACACCCAGGCCGTTATCATACTCGGAATTGTTTTACACTCGGATAGTCCCCCCCCCCCCCCCCCCCCCCCAAAGTGCTAGAATTTGTAATTTACTAAGAGTGAGTGAGGTGGGTTAAACGCAGCTTAGAATAGTATTCTAGTTATGTCACGGCGTGTCAAATGTTGGAGGATAGTTTTTTTTCATCAATGGTGGTAAGCCCATCTATTGCAGTGCGTAATATAGAATTGCAGATTTGGTGTATAAAAAACCCTACATATGATTTTCACGCCTAGTAATAAAGAAAAAAAACAGGGGGAAACACAAGAATGTGTGACAAAAGAGCCACTAAACTCAGAATTCAAACATTTTTCAGAATTAAGTATTTTGGGGTTCGGGTGTGTGGGTGTGGGGTGGAGGGGGTTGTCATCAAACTTAATTCGACATCGAACTTTTGAACTGGTCCCTTACTGAGACTGTATAATCCCCCAAATTAAGATATGTGGAGAAACCCTGCGTCAAATTCTTATATCGGTATTTAAGGCAGATGTTGAAAAAACGGGTGTCGCAGACATGCAATATAACAATGGTTGTGTAGCTCCAAAGGATAAGTGTGGTTTAACACTGGGGCTGGGACGAGTCCAAATTTACTACCCGGGTACCCACCACGCTATTACCCGACCCTACCCGGATACCCGCTATATGTCTCAAGACTTGGGTGTAAAAAGTCCGATTGGGAATTGTTTGACCGTAGCCCTGGTAAAATGTATTTAGATACACATATAAAACGATCTGGTCATGCATACACTGACGTTGACTGAAATATTATCTTTATTCAAACCTATACAGGTCAGGATGAAAGGGTGCATAGTCAGAAAGAAATGCGAACATTAGTGACTTGTAACCATAGAGTTTTAGATATGTGTTGTCCTTAAACAATGTATCACGTGACTAACGGTAGTTCTGTGGGTACCCGGGTCCTACTCAGTACCCACCCGACCCGAGTTACCCGTCCCAGCACTATTTAAAACCGCCTTGAACAATATTTAATGGCAGATTGACGCGAGAGGAAAACCCGAAGTGATGTCGGGGAATTGTGGATTCAAACCTACAAGAGTAGGTTTCTGACACACCTAAGGGGAGTAACTCTGTTTTACGAACTGAGGAACCTTAGACAACTGTGGTCTTATACACAGGTATGTACTACCATGTTGAAGCCTGTGGTCTTATACACAGGTATGTACTACCGTGTTGAAGCCTGTGGTCTTATACACAGGTATGTACTACCGTGTTGAAGCCTGTGGTCTTATACACAGGTATGTACTACCATGTTGAAGCCTGTGGTCTTATACACAGGTATGTACTACTGTGTTGAAGCCTGTGGTCTTATACACAGGTATGTACTACCATGTTGAAGCCTGTGGTCTTATACACAGGTATGTAGTACCGTGTTGAAGCCTGTGGTCTTATACACAGGTATGTACTACCGCGTTGAAGCCTGTGGTCTTATACACAGGTATGTAGTACCGTGTTGAAGCCTGTGGTCTTATACACAGGTATGTACTACCGTGTTGAAGCCTGTGGTCTTATACACAGGTATGTACTACCGCGTTGAAGCCTGTGGTCTTATACACAGGTATGTAGTACCGTGTTGAAGCCTGTGGTCTTATACACAGGTATGTACTACCGTGTTGAAGCCTGTGGTCTTATACAAAGGTATGTACTACCGTGTTGAAGCCTGTGGTCTTATACACAGGTATGGACTACCGTGTTGAAGTCTGTGGTCATATACACAGGTATGTACTACTGTGTTGAAGCCTGTGGTCTTATGCACAGGTATGTACTACCGTGTTGAAGCCTGTGGTCTTATACACAGGTATGTACTACCGTGTTGAAGCCTGTGGTCTTAAACACAGGTATTTACACCCATGTTGGAGCCAGTGGTCTTATACACAGGTATTTACTCAAACGAACACTCAATGCCATTTAGACAACATATACAACAAATGTTATATTTGGGATAACACTTTTTGGGGTGGTACTTTTTGGGGCTGACTCCCTGTTTGTGTGCTGGCGATTAGGTGCGTTACTCTGGCAGTGTAGGTTCGAATCCCGGACGGGACTCAACCCCCAAAAGTACTAGAATCTGTACTTTACAAAGAAAGTGTTATCCCAAATATAACATTCGTTACATTTGACCACTTTCTAAATGTCATTGTGTTTCATACGAGGGCTGACTGAAAAGTTCTAAGCCTAAGTGGGATATCTCAATCGGATTGAAACAAACTTTTGCCACACACAAGTACAATCATTTAATGAATCATAGACATAAGAACTGCAACTGTAGTGTTATTATTGTCTTTGTACCAGACCATCTTGTGAACCTACCCATTGAAATCTCCAGAAATGGCCAAAACTGGCTATAGGGCAGTCATCAAGTACCTGCAACTGAAAGGGCTAACTCCAACACAGATACATGCTGACATGGTCTCCACTTTAGGGGATGATGCCCCTTCCTTTTTCACTGTAAAGAAGTGGGCTGCGGAATTCAAGCGTGGCAGAGAGCCTTGACGATGACCCGCGTCCAGGAAGGCCTTCAACAGCAACCATTCCGGAAAACATTACCCGGGTGCATGACATGGTGATGGCTGATCGACGATTGACCACTCGACATATTGCCAGTGTTGTGGGCATCTCTCATGAGAGGGTTGAGCACATTATCACCACCGAGTTGGGAATGACAAATGTTTCTGCAAGATGGGTGCCAAAGCTCTTGACAGCGGATCAGAAACGTGTCAGATTCCTGACGTCCCGTGACAATTTATGCCGTTTTGAAGCAGATCCCGATGATATTTTGGCCCGATTTGTAACCATGGATGAGACCTGGATTCATCACTTTCAACCAGAAACCAAAATTCAGTCTAAACAATGGAAGCATCCGGAATCACCAGCCACCCCAAAAGCCAAGTCGGTTCCTTCTGCTGGAAAGGTGATGGCTTCAGTCTTTTGGGATTCCAAGGGTATTCTGCTGATTGACTATCTTGAAAAAGGCCAGACTATCAATGGCAGATATTATGCTGACCTACTGAGACAGTTTCGTGAAGCTATCAAAGCTAAGCGACGGGGAATGCTCACTAAAGGAGTCCTGTTCCACCAAGACAATGCTCCTGTTCACAAATCGGTGGTTGCCATGTCAGCGATCCATGATTGTGGCTCATTGACCATCCCCCTTATTAACCCGATTTGGCCCCGTCAGACTTCCACCTGTTTCCCAAAATGAAAAAGGAACTAGCCGGTCGCCATTTTCCTAGTAATGATCACGTCATTTCCGCCGTGGATGACATTTTTAGGGTGGCTGAAGAAAATTTCTTCTTGACCGGCATCCAGGCCTTGCAGCATCGCTGGCAAAAGTGTGTAAACCTGGAAGAGGACTATGTGGAGAAATAAATGAAAACCATCGACTTGGTACGGGTCTTTCACAGTTAGGCTTAGAACTTTTCAGCCAGCCCTCGTAGCTTTCGGCCATGTCAGAGGGGTACGCAAAGTACGTGATCAAGACTACCAGTTGTCGGACTTTCTTTTTTTGTGGAAGCCTCGGTGTCTGAGTGGGTTGGGTCGCAGACTTTGTGTGCTGGCGATTAGGTGCCTCATTCTGACAGTGTGGGTTCGAATCCGGACGGGACTCAAGTCTCAACCCAAAAGGTACGAGAATCTGTACTTTACAAAGAAAGTGTAATCCCAAACATTTGTTATATTTCCTCAAACGTTGGAGCCTGTGTTCTGATACACATGTATTTACACCCGTGTTGGAGCCAGTGGTCTGACACACACGTATATACGACCATGTTGGAGCCTGTGACCTTATATACACATGTATTTACAATGATGAACCATAGAGAAAGGTTGGTTGGTTTGTTGTTTAACGCCGCACTCAGCAATATTCCAGCTATATGATGGCGGTCTGTAAATAATCGAGTCTGGACCAGACAATCCAGTGATTATTATCATGAGCATCGATCCACGCAGTTGGGATCGATGACATGCATCATGCCAAGTCAGCGAGCCTGACCACCCGATCCCGTTAGTCGCCTTTTACGACAAGCAAAGTCGCCTTTTACGGCAAGCATGGGTTCTACCCCGGAATCTTCACGGGCCACTATAGAGAAAGGACTGTGGCCTATTGTATCACACTCTGTAGAGAGGTTTGTGACCTATTGTATATCACTATGAAGACAGGCATGTGGCTTATTGTATCCCACTGTGGAGACAGGCATGTGGCTTATTGTATATCACTATGAAGACAGGCATGTGGCTTATTTCACACTGTGGAGA